AAGAGGAGTATGTCTGGAATGCAAGCGATCCCTTAGGGCGTCTCTTAGGACTACCGTGTCATGTGATTAAAGTCAATGGAAAACTACTGCAACCCTAGTCTGACATGACTACTAATGGTTCAGACCCTTCAGGAATAAAGGTTTGGGTCACCCTACCAGGCAAAGAACCACAACCAGCTGAGGTGCTTGCTGAGGGCAAAGGGAATACGGAAAGGGTGGTGGAAGAAGGTAGTTGCAAATACCAGTTCTAAATAGCCACGTGATCAGTTGCAGAAATGAGGACTGTAATTGTTATGAGTATTTCTTTCTTGCATGTGTGCATCAAATATTTATGCTTTCTTCACTTATAAAATATAAGATGTAAACAGGACTAGTGTGTTTTTGGTTGTATGTGTATTAGTTGTATCATGTTAGGTGCAAGTATGACTTTATGATTGTCTTTACTCAGAGATTATGTATGGTTTTAGGAGATGTGTACAGGTGCCAAATTGACAAGGGGTAGACTCTGATTATTAAGGTTGTATGTCAACTTGGCTGGGCCATGATTCTCAGTGGTCTGGCAGTTATGCTGTAGTCTGGCAGTTGTATAATGATGTAATCACTTCCATGATGAGATCTGATATAATGAGATCACCTCCATGATGGGATCTTCTGTGAGTAGGCAATCAGTTGAAAGGGAGTTTCCTTGAGGGTGTGGTCTGCATCCAATATAGATGGACTTTCTAGCAAGGCTCGTAGGGCTTTTGCTCATTCTGGATCCTGCAGCTGGCTCCTATTCGTCTGATCTCTGGTTCTTGGGAATTGAGCTATCAGCTTAACTAGCAATCTTGGGATTCATCAGCCTCCACAGTCTGTGAGCCAGCAGCCTGCCAGCTTACCTGCTGATCTGGGGATTTGTCGGCCTCAGCAGCCTGTGAGTCAGAGGCCTGTTGTCTGACCTGCAGATCTTGGGTTCGCCAGCCCCTGCAGCTATGTGACTCAGGAGAAGTCTCTCGCCTGACCCAGAGACTTGGGACTTTCCAGCCTCTACAACTGCGTGAGCCATTTCCTTGATATAAATCTCTCTCTGTCTATCTATCTATCTATATATATATATACAGATAGAGAGAGAGAGAGAGAGAGAGCTGCTTCCCTGGTTTTGCTTTTCTAGAGAACCCAGCCTAAGACATTTGGTACTGGGAGTGGGGTCAAATGTCTTAGGCTGGGTTCTCTAGAAAAGCAAAACCAGGGAAGCATCTATACAGAGAAATAAATTTTGTCTTTGAATTGGAGTGTTTAGTCCATTAATGTTTAATGTATTTATTCATATGGCTGGATTTAGGCCTATATTTTTCATGTCTTTTTTTCTGTTTCTCTCCTTATTTTGGGGTATGTGTGTGTGTGTGTGTGTGTGTGTGTGTGTATCTGTGTGTGTGTGTGTCTTTTGTTCCTTTGTTTCTCCTTTCTTCTGAATTATTTGATATTTTTTAGAATTCCATTTATCTATTGGCCTTTTAGCTACACCTTTTTGCAATATTCTGTCAGTAGATGTTTTAGGGATTACAAGGTACATCTTTAACTTTTTACAGTATACTTAGACTTAATACTGTTCCTCTTCATAAAAGTTACAGAAATATTGCAGTCCTATATGTCCATTTAATTGCCTCCCTGTTCTTTATGCTATAGTTTCATGTGTATTATATCTACATACATTATAAATCCCACAAGACAATATTATAATTTTTGTTTTAAGCAGCCCTACATATTTTAATTTTTTTTAAATAGTCTTTTTTATTTACCCAGACATTTAACATTCCAACACTCTTCATTTCTTCTTGAAGATGTGAGTTTCCACCTTGTAACATTCTCTGTAGCCTGAAGAACTTTCTTTAGCATTGCTTGTAGTGCATATCTCTTGGGCAAGAAATTCTATTAGTTTTATTTTATCTGAGAAACACTTTTCTTTATGCATTCATTCTTAAAGAATATTTTTGTTGAATGTAGAATTCTGGGTTGATGGTTCTTTTTGTTTGTGTGTTTGTTTGTTTTAGCGTTTTAATTACCTTGTCCCGCTGTCTTATGGCCTTCACAGTTTCTAATGAGAAGTCTACAGTAATTCAAATCATTGTTCTCCTGTGTGTTATGTGTTTTCTCCGTGTTGATTTTCACTTTGTCTTTGGTTTTCAGCAGTTTGACTCTGCTGGGCCCAAGGGCTGTTTTCTTTATTTTTATCCTGCCTAGGGTTCAGTAAGTATCCTAATTTTGGGAACTTTCAACCATTGTTCCTTTTATTTATTTTTTTTTTTTTTTTGCCTCATTCACTCTCCTCTGCTTCTGGGACCCTAATTACATTTCTAATAGGTCTTTTGATATTTTCCCACAGGTTCCCAAGGCTCTGTTAATTTTTCTTCCAATCTTTTTATTTCCCTTATTTAAAATGGGTAATTTCTATTACTCTATCTTTAAACTCACTGACTTTCTTCTCTCACCTCCATTCTGTGATTAGGCCTATCCAATGAATTTTTATTTAATATATCGTATTTTCCAGTTCTAGAATTTTCATTGGGTTCCTTTTATGCTTTAAATATGCTATTATTACTTACTTTTTCATTCATTGTGACTGTATTTTTCATTTATGTTCTGAGTATAGTTCTAATAGCTGCTTTAAAATCCTGGAGTGCTAATCCCAGTATCTGGATCATTTAAGAGTTGGTCTCCATTGTCTTTTCTTTTGAGAATGATTCACATTTTCTTGGTTCTTCACATTGTCAACAAAATTTGGATTGTATCCTGGACATTGTGAATATTATGTTTTAGAGACTCTGGATTCTGTTATATTTCTCTGAAGAGTGTTGATTTTTTTTTTATATATATACACATATAAGACAACTTAAATGTAATCAAACTACAAACTCTGACTCTTGAGTGGTTACTCAAAACTCAAATAAGTTCTTTTTTTTCTTGCTGAAACCCATCATGTGCATGCATGGTTCAAGGATCAGTAGAGATCTGAGTAGAATTTATATACAGAATTTGGTATTTCCCCTCTCTTGGTTTCTCCTTTCCTGGAATTTTCGCTCATTTTCTAGAAACCGTGGTTGTCCCAAGCTCTGTTTTCCAGTTCTTCAAGCCAGAAAGGCCTAGATTTTCTAGAGAAATTTTAGCCACCCCATGTAGCACCTCTGGCCTGCTCTCCTGCTACAAGCTATAAAAACATGTAATTCACCTTATGCTGATCCCTTTTGCTTAATGGCATCCCCCCACTCTGGTATCTTCCTATTTATTTTTACTCTCTAGTGCCTTCACATCATTGTTTTTGTTTGTTGTTTGTTTCTATTTTGTCCATAATTTATAGCTATTATCTGTGAGAGGGTTGGGTCCTATAGAAGCTACTAAAAAACTCCATTGCTGTTGAGCCAATTCCGACTCATATCGACTCCACAGGACAGAGCAGAACTGCCCCATAGGGTTTCCAAGGAGCAGGTGGTGGATTCAAACTGCTGACCCTTGGGTTAGCAGCCAAGCTCTTAATCACTGCACTACCAGGACTCCATAGAAGCTACTACACCATAACAAAAGCAGAACTCTCTCCTTGATCTTTGATTATAAAAGTTAATTATGCTAGCTAAGTATCTAACTTAAACAAAGGCATTTTTAGTTTAAGTTGCAGGAAAAAATGTGATGTTCCAAACAAGATTTCAGCAATTTTACATGCAAAGTATGATTCTGCAGAACCACTATGAAAAAAGGACTACACTGATGATTTTCTCAAACAGCCAAGTACAAAACATAGTATCACTGAGAAAAGGAGGATGAGAAACAAGGTATTCTAAAAACATATTAAATGTTGTGATCCTTCATCTGGAGAAAGGATTCTACCTATACATCCTACTCCAGTGCTTCTCCAACTTTAATGTTCATACAAATCACCTGGGTGGGTGCTGTAGTACATAATTTAAGAAGATCCTGGGATCTTTCACTTACTCATGAATCCTTGTGATTTATAACAAGCCTATGTTTTATGTTTTGCTAGTATTTTAATTATCTGTGATGACAGTGATATAAAATGTGTGGAGTTGGAAACAGAAGAATGGTGGGTCTCTCTATGGGTGTGTAGTCCTGGTTCCATGTAAGTGGGTATCTCATATGAAGAGTGCCTCTTTAATGGCAGCATTAACAAATACCACTCTAAAAGTCCACAGGAAAAAGTGACAATCTAGACCAATTTATGAACATTTTACTTAATTTTTAATGATGATTATCTCAATGCAGATATATTTGTACCCTCCTCTGCCATACACGCCTCTTGGTTAAACCCAAGGAAGGCCGAGTGTCCAACAGAAAGAATGAAATAACAGCGTTTCAGAGTTGGTGTCTATGGCAGACATTATCAATTGATCATGGTGTGCTCCTCACTGCGTCTAGATTCAGAATCCTTCTGAAAACAGAATTTAGTGTCAGCACTGAAGTTGATACCTATTTGCCCTCCCTATCTGAGAGCCTTTCTCCCACGAGATGGATAGAATCAGGGATGACAGTCAGGATTACTCCTCTCCAGTCAGGCAAAGACCTAAACAAAGAACCTACTCAAAGGAATTTGGGTAAATATGCCTCAGTCCATTTTCCCTAAACCAAAAACCAAACCCATTGTCAACTCATAGCGACTCTATAGGACAGAGTAGAACTGTCCCATAAGGTTTCCAAGGCTGTAATCTTTACAGAAGCAGACTGCCATATCTTTCTCCTGCAGAACGGCTGGTGGGTTAAACCATCAACTTTTCCGTTAGCAGCCAAGCACTTAACAACTGCGCCACCAGGCTCCTTCCATTTTCACTACAACCCCTAAGTTACATCCAGCTAGCAAAGCTTTTTGTGGACAAAAGTGGAGAAATGGTCTCAGAAAATACCTTCAATTGAGCATCACTTTCTTTACTTCTCTTTGGGAGCCGTGCTTATGAGCATCATAGGGAATGCTCATTCCCTGTGATGACACACCCACTTTAATCTAAATAGTGCCTCACCTGACAATTAACGCAGACCCCTCCACCTGCACAGATGCCATGAATATTCAAGCTTGCCTGCTGCCTCTCAACATCTGCATCATAGTAACAGTCGATGGCGTGGCCATGGCAGTTGCATGCTGGGGAAAAAAAAAGCATTCTAAATCAATATTCCATCATTACTATGAGACACTTAGTAATTTCCCCGCGATAATCTTACTGCTCATTGAGCTACAGTAAAGTGTATTCTGGAACACCAGGCATACTCTTAGTGAAAAATTTCTTTAAACTTTATACTAAGAGCTATGGCTGCTAACCAAAAGGTTGGCAGTTTGACTCTACCAGCTGCTCCTTGAAAATCCTCCGGGGCAGTTCTACTCTGTCCTATAGGGTCGCTATGCATCAGAATCGACTCAATGGCAACGGGTTTTGTTTGGTTTAAGACCCCTCTATGATAACATGCAACTGAAAGCTCCTTTCATTTGATATTAAGTGGGAGATGTTTCTCTTTTTAAAAAAATAAGATATATAATTAAAACAGTCAAGTGGGAAACATCAGCATTTAAGCTGTATAAATAATATAATCCTGAGTATTTAAAATATTCATGAAAAAACACTAAAAGATCTAATAAAATATTAATAGTAGCTCTCTTTTGATAGTAAAACTATTGGTTATTTTAATTTTCTTTCTTTTTTATAATTGCCAATTAACTACAATATATAATACATCTCAAATTATAAAATATAATTTGCCAAGATGAAAAAAATTAACATGAGTAAAATTCTTATTCTTTCCTAAGCAGAATATATAATTATAGCATTCCACCTAGATCAAATTTTCTAAGACTTGCTAGTAACTGTTAATTTCTAATCAAGTTGCCAGATGAATTTATTGGGAAAGAATACTGAATTAAAAATTAGACAAGACACTCCATTTTTACAGGCTGAACACTTACTGTCATCTCCGTTTTGGTACTATGACAAAAAATTCAAGGCAGTTACATTTACTATCTTTACTATTTTGAATTGTGTAATTTAAATGAAATTTAGAAAGCACCTAATAAACGTATCCAAATAAGTCTGATTTCTATAAACTGTTTTTGTAACTTTTAACCATTTTGACAAGTTTTAAAAGGTTAAAAACTCATTTTAGGAAAATTTTTTGAAACTTTTCATATGTGTTAGATTAAAGCATGTCTTTCACTAAAGGCCTCCATTAGTCTGGAAAACTAATCAAATTGCAAATGCTGGATGGAGTTCATGGGCTCAACATTCATCAAGCAAAATATCCAAAACTAGCACTGGAAAAGCAGTAGAAGAAATGTCCCCTGATTATCATTACCTTCCCCTCTTTTGGTCCCATTATCCAGGAGTGAGGAGTTGGGAAGTAGGAACCTGTTTGTTTCAACCATAAAATTCATCTAAGTAATACATCTGGGCTTAGACACCCACATGCCTTAGGTAGCTACCAACATGTTCCAACAACATTACCCTCTCTCAGAACATTCTTGGAACTCCTCACTGGAAATGCTTTTGAGTAACTTTACTGGTCAGATGAGATCATCAGTCTTATCTCTTACTGCCAGTTGCCGTTGAGTTGTTCCAATTCATGGTGACCTCGTGTGTGTCAGAGTAGAACTGAACTCCATAGGGTTTTCAATGGCTGGTTTTTTGGAAGTAGATTGCCAAGACTTTCTTCCAAGGCATCCCTGGTGGACTCCAGCCTCTAACATTTTCGGTAAAGCACATTAGCTGCTTACGCCACCCATGGACTACCATCTCTTAACAATTACAAAAAATATTTGACCAAAAAGTATACAGTACAGATTTTTACCCAACTATTCAACAAATCTGGCTCCAAATGTCTTTTGGTCATTTCCAAAAAGAAAATCCACAACACACAACATATCAGGGAAGTCAGCACAACTTGACCAAGGCAAAGTCATAGAAACTTCTTACACACATCCAAATACCTGAGGGACCAAGTTACTGGGGCTGGGGGCTGAGGACCATGGTCTCAGAGGACATCTAGGTCAATTGGCATAACATAGTTCATAAAAAAGTGTTCTACATCCTACTTTGATGAGTAGTGTCTGGGATCTTAAAAGCTTGCAAGTAGCCATCTAAGATACATCTATTGGTCCGATCCTGTCCAGAGCAAACAAGAATGAAGAAAACCAAAGGCACAAGGAAAATACTAGTCCGAAGGACTAATGAACCACATGAACAATAGCCTCCACCAGCCTGAGCCCAGAAGAACTAGATAGTGTCTGACTATCACCACTGACCGCTCTGACCGGGATCACAATAGAGGATCACAGACAGAGAGGAAGAAAAATGTAGAACAAAATTCAGTTCACAAGAAAAACCCAGACTTACTGGTCTGTCTGACAGAGCCTGGAGGAACCCGAAGATTATGGCCCCTGGATACCCTACTAACTCAGAACTGAAGCCATTCCCGAAGCCCACTGTTCAGCCAAAGATTAGACAGCCCCATAAAAGAAAATGAGACTAATGGGGCACAACAGTCCAGGGACAAGGATTAGAAGGCAGGAAGGCACAGGAAAGCTGGTAATAGGGAACCCAAGGTTGAGAAGGGGTTGTTAACCATTGTCATAAAACAATATGTGTAGTAACTATTTAATGAGAAACTATTTTTTCTGTAAACCTTCCTCTAAAGTACAATAAAAATAAAATAAAGGTCATGCTGACTTGTTTTTAATAGGGAAAAAAAAAGAAACTCCATCTTCAAATGCTAAGAATAATTAGAAAATTTTAGAAAGTCTCTGAAACAAATACCAGAAAGTTACAAAAAATGTTTCTGGCATTTGTAAGAAGTATGTGGCTCCCCAGGAAGATGAACCTAAAAGCTAATCTTCAGCTGGATGTCTTAGTTAGGGCTTCGTTGTTAAAAATAACTGTTTTCTTGCTTTATATTCCATCCATAGGTTGAAAGCAGCCTCTTGTCTTTTTTACTTCCTTCTCTTGCCCCTTTCATCCTCCACCTGCCTCAGTCCTTCTATACTGCTCCTCCCATCCCTCCTCCCTCCACTCTCCATGCTTCCAACTCTGTGTTTAGACATCAATCTCGCCACCTTCTCTGAACCTCAGTCCTCAAAATAGCTAGGATTCCTAGCCAGCATCACAGCCCAAGAAATGGAAAGGGTTTAAAAATTTACAGCGGCTACACCAGATTTAAGATTGCTAAAAAGAGAAGCCAACATATTAAAAAGCACTCAGCTCAATATTTGCATGTGTTGTTGTTGTCGTTAGCAGCCCCATCTCTTAGCAACCCCATGCACAATGGAAAGAAATGACGCCCAGTCCTGTGCCATGCCCATGGTTCATTGAGGATGGGACCGTTGTGATCCACAACATTTTTATGTGCTGATTTTCAGAAGCAGATCATCAGGCCTTTCTTCCTAGTCCATCTTAGTTTGGAAGCTCTCTCTGCTGAAATCGGTTCAGCATCATAGCAGCAGGCAATCCACTGCTGACAGATGGGTGGTGGGTGCCCATGAGGTGCACTGGCCGGGTATCCATCCTGGGTACTCCACACGGAAGCTGAGAATTCGCCCGCTGAATCACCACTGCCCCCAATCCTTGCATATAGTGAATGCTTTATAAATATTAATGATTATTATCACCGTTAATTTTGTTCTCATATTTATATCGGGATTTACCTCCAGTTTGTGATTTTCTTCATTACAATAGACAGACCTGACTCCCTAAGATGGACATGATCCCATACTCTTTGTAAGCGTGGGAAACACAGCATCAGTCCTCAGGCAGAAATGGGAAGAAAGGCCTGTGGGGAGCCTTGCTTCCCAGTCCCCCACCCCGACACTCACCCTCACACTCATTGCTCTGCTCCGAAGTGGCCGGCCACCACCGCCTCTGATTGTAGCCAGCACAGCAGCGATCACACGTCTCCCCACAGGTGTGGTGTTGACATTCACACTGAAACCTGGCCATGTGGGTGAAGACATCTCAGTTATTTGAAAAGTTTGGATGAAGATCAGGTGTTCTGTGTGAAAAACTGGCACATGAATATAATCATCCCGGTCATCCTAGCAAGTGCCATTTATTGAGCAGTTACGAGAACAAAGCATTTTGCATATATTATTTCAAGGCCTCCAAATCCTGCAAAATCAAGCTTTTTATCTCCATTTTACAGATGATAAAACTAAGACTCAGAGATACTGAAATACTTGCCAAGGTCACACGATGATAAATGGAGAGCCAGATTTCAAACCTAAGTCTGTCCAAAGCCCCAGCTCTTCCTTCTCTACCAAACTATTTTACAACTGGGGCTTCGAAACGGTTCATTCCGGTTCAAACCCCTGCTGAGAATTTGCATTTCCACCCCAGATATACTGAATCAGGAAGATCTTGTTAAAATGTAGAATTCTGATTCAGTACATCTGGGGTGGAAATGCAAATTCTCAGCAGGGGTTCAAACCAGAATGAACCAGTTCAAAGCCCTGATAACAACAAATGAGCAAACAAGTAAGCCAGTGCTGAGCTCCTTAGGATGTGTTAAGACTCCATTCACCTTGAAAACATTATACTGAGTAAGTCAGTCAGTCACAAAAGGACAAATGTGTGATCTCACTTATATGAAGTATCTAGAATAGGCAAATGCATAGAGACCAGTTTATCAGTGGTTACCAGGGGCTGGGAGGAGGGCAAAGGTAGAATCATTGCTTAGGAAGCACTGAGTTTCTGTTTATAGTGATGGAACACTTGGCAACGGATATTGGAGGCAGTTGCAGGCATGATTAATGTAATTAGTGTCACTAAACAGTACACATGAAAAATCCTGAATTTGCAAATGTTGTGTTGTATGTATCTTTACAACAATTAAAAAAAAAAAAAGGAATCTGTTCACAAAGATCGAGAATAGTCCTGTAAGAAAGGTCTGCTCAAGAGTCCTGCTGTCCACCTGGGGTCAGCACAGAGATTCACAGAATCCAAGGACTGTGACCAATAATTAGATCTCAGAGAATCCCATTCCCTGAGGCTGTGCCAGCTCCAACAAACAGCTCCATCACCGGGCCAAAAGAGCAGATTACTCAGAGAGGTAAAAGGGTAAAACTCTAAAAATTTAACTTCAGAGGATTATGCATCTGCCCTAAAATTTTGCCAAGTTAAAATGAAAGTGTGTAGCCATAGCACTGGACTAGAACACCAGGCTTTGATCCTTTGTTCATCTGTGCTTGAAAGAGGATTCAAAACAGTTTCCTAAGAAAACTTCACTCTTCCCTGAGGGGAGGTGGGATGGCACATATTCAGTTACCCTCCTAAGGGGAGGTGTCATCCTTCTCAGCTGCCTGTGGGAGCCATGGACACAGATTTACCTGGCAGCACAGACCAGCTGGAGTCCAAATGGGCGCTTGTCAGAGAGGCAATCTCAGCTTGTTGCCATGAAATATTTGGCACAAACAGGACTGAAAGAATATTTAGGGAAGGAAGACCACCTGAAGAACATGCAGTCCAATTACTCTGATGTTGTTGCCACTGAGTTGGTTCCAACTCATGGAGACTCTGTGTGTGCCAAATAGAACTGTGCTCCATAGGGTTTTCAAGGCTGTGACCTTTCAGAAGCAGACTACCAGGCCTGTCTTCTGATGCACCTCTGGGCGGGTGATTCAAACCACAAACCTTTTAGCTAAGTCAAGTATTTACCATTTGTGCCACCCAGGGACTCCCAATTACTCTAATGCTGTTGCTGTTGCTGTGTGCTGTCAAGTCGATTCCAACTCATAGTGACCCTATAGGACAGAGTGGAACTGTCCCATAGGGTTTCCAGGGAGCAGCCAGTGGATTCAAACTGCCGACCTTTTGGCTAGCAGCTTGAGCTTTTAACCACTTTGCCACTAAAACTGAGTATAGCAAAAAAAAAAGTGGCTGGGACCTGTCTGAATCATATTGGTAGCCCCAAACCATTCCTTTTCCTAAATCTCTCTCAGCCCAGGCTGATAGCTAATACAGAAAACTTGTCCTTGCATCTACTGCTCAGGACTAAAGCTCAGCCCTCGTTATCTCTGCCCCTAAGCTTTTTGATCCCCATCCTTAGTTGCCTCCTGGGTAAAATGGGGATAGTAACATTTGCATTACGTGGCTGTAGATGTGCTTTGGAAACTGTAAAATTCTGTAAGATACAGGGATATATATATTGAGGTTCTATAAAAATTAAAATTCGCAATTTCTCCCAGAATAATTCTTTGCTATGAAGGATGAGAAGAAGCTGGAAAATTCTTCATTTACTAGCATGAAATAAACTAATGGGGGGGTACAGATTACAGGTGATAGAGTCACCCACTAAGTGAGAGAAGAAAAAGAATGGCAATGCTAAGTTGGTGACCATTTGGTAAAAGCAAGTTTCAAATGTTGGGGGTTGCTGCCATCCACTGTACGTCACATTGATTTCATGGTACAGGAAGATGCAAGTAGGTGTGTTCCTTAAAATTGTTATTTCTATAAAAGGAATTCCATTAAAAATGAGTTTTCTCTATAATGTTTATATCGTATTTAAATCAAAGCTTTAAAAATGTCACAATATTTTTGGTCATCAATTTATAGATCACTGTAATCTGCACAATCCTAAATTAACAGTCATTTCAACAATGAAACAAAATAAGATATCTTATTGGCAATCTATACTTAAGAAATAGAGTAGCTAAATCCAGGGAAAACACATCAAATGCATTTCATAAGATGGCAGAAAATAAGAGCTAAGAATAAAATTGGAAATTTTTTTCAGCATAAATAATTTATTGCATACTCTCTAATATCATACACTAGTGAGCTTGACAGTCCATACAGGAGTATTCGGGATGGAGAACGAGGAGGTAAGGAGTGAGATGAAAGTGTAGGGTATGAACACAGGTTGCTGAGGGGTAGACTTCATGCCACAGTGTGCTGGTGACCAGTTCTTGGTCAGCTAAGCCTTTCCTAAACTAAGAATTAGGAAAGGAAAACCCTAATTGAATAACTCACAGATTGGAGTCAGCTTTAAACTAGAAAATGAAAGCTTTAAAATGAGGAAGGAATTTACAAGTTCCTCAAATGTGCTGTGATGTATCTATGGGGTTCTGAGATGTTCATCTTCTCTGCCAGGAACATGCAACCTAGCAAAACAATTGTCATACTTTACTATGATTGCTTGTTTAACTGTCAGTTGTCCCCACTGGGATTCCTATCCTCCTTGTTCGTCAAGGTAGTAGTAGCAGCCACTTGGGGAATATTTTTTGAATGAATGAGTGTATGATATTTAGAAAACCTCACAACTCATGCACAGCCAACAATAGTGAAAATAATCAATACCGCAGTTTATGTATTCAGGGTTAGCTTTATGCAAAAAGATGGGCAGAGTTTGCCCTCAATGACCTCTCCTATTCCCCTCAGAATAGACAGGCTCCTGGTGCCCTCATGCTGACCCACCACTACCCAGCTATCCTTTCCCACATGGCGCCATTTTGTCCCAAGCTCAAGGACACTAGCCCGACCTCTTCTCTCCCCTCTCTCTGCAACTCAGAACTTACCTGATCTGACTTCCAGTGTCTTCGGGCCTACTCTCCAGAAGGTTACATGACGGTAATGGATTATGTAATCATTATTAAACAAGTCCTTGCCGACGAAAGGTTAGTTAGCTGGTGTATAGGCTCTCTGGGATAGTACCCTCCGAAACCTGAAGGAGGGCTGACAACATTAGGGATTGTTGCTGATCAAGAGAAGGGCGCCACAAAGCACACCACACAAGTTGGCAGCTGGCGACTCTGCCTGAACACATAGTGAGACCTAAAGACATATAAACCTGAATCTGATGAAAAGTAAAATACATCTCTAGTAAATGTTGCTCATGGGGAATTGTAGACTTTAAATGAAAAACTGAGAGAAAATTATTACCGTATCTAGTACCCAGTAATTTCCAACCCTTGACACTATTACTCTTGGAGGAGTAGCACAAGTGTATACAACTGCCAAACACTTAACATTTAAGATCTATGCATCTTATTGTATGCAAAATATTCCTCAATTAAAAACAAAAAGATTTGGAACATGTAACTCTTTTCCCATTAGACCAAGGATGACAGACAGGTTTTATTTCTCATTACAACCCTAATCAATTATTATGTAGTGGTTGCCCAGAGCACCATCTTGGAGAGGATTTGGTGGCTGCAGCCTAGACTATCTGTGAGGATTTCTGTGATTGATTAGCCATGCCTGCAGTGGGCTGTAGGGGAAGCTCTGCTACGCACACCCCCCACCTATCTGTTGACTGAAAAATTCCTGCTGAGGGCGGTATCCTAGAAATAGTCAATGGTATGGACACAACCACTGAAACAATTAGACATGATGATAGCAAGGCTAAAAACATCTGTACATGTACTTACAGTTTTTCAGGATTGTTTGCATTACACACTTCAGCATGGCCATTGCAAACACACCGCCCACCGATGCTGATGTCCTTTATGCTGTAGTAATACTATATAACCGAAAACAAAGCATGTCAGTTTTACTGAACAGCAACATAAACCTTCCCTTACTAATCTGTAGCCCACTTCTATATCTACTGTGCTTCCCTTTTTCCCTGTACTCATGAGCCACTTTTGCTTGTCTACTTCAACACAAAAGGTAGCAACAATCAGATGTAATTTGCCAAACAAAATAGATGCATTCCTTAATCAAATTTAACCACATACTGCCATATTTGTCCAGTTTTAAAAATCAAGTGCTTTAAATACATTGAGGAGGAGGTGGGGACAAGATGGCGGAGCAATCAGATGCTTCTGGTGGACCCTCTTACAATAAAGACCCAAGAAAACAAGTGATTCGATTATATATGGCAATCTGGGAGCCCTGAACATCAAAGGCAGAGTTGAGGAACTGGACTGAGTGGCAGGGTGAGGGAGAAATGCTTCAGAAGCAGCGAGGAGTTGCCAGACCTGACCCGGTGAGAGCCTGAGCCCTTCAGGCCTGAGCAGCTCAGGGGTGAGCAGTGAGGCAGGCAAGCAGCCGTGCTCAGGAAGTGCGTTTTCCACACTGGGAGAGACTCAGTACCGGAGACTCTATACAGCCACCCAGAACCAGTGAAAAGCAGCCCTCGATCTGGTGAAAGATAAGTAATTGTGTACGTCCTACTGTGCAGATCAAAAACACCCCTCTTAGGGAAAAACCTCTCTCCCATTTACCTCCCAGCTCCCTGCTCTGCGCTGGGTCCCGGACCAGCTTCAGCAATTGCCGAGTCCCCTGGGCCAGAGGTAGGATCTGTCACACGCCCAGAGCCATTCTCCCTGTCTTGGAGAATGAACAAATTAACAAACAGGAGAAAATAAACTGCTGGCTCCCCTAAGCCAGCAACCCAGGGTAGGCACAGCTCCTTTGCCTAGGCACAGGCATAAGGGATCCATGGACTTTGAGTGCCTTTTCCCCTGCACAGGCTTGTGTGGGACCATCTCAACAGCGCAGGCCCTCATTACCGCAGTACAACAGGGTATATAGCAAAAGTCTAACTTCAACTGTTTCAGCTGTGAAGTGGCAGGTTCTTGACATTTGACACTGCTGTGCCCATTAAGCAGGGTCTTCACCTACCCACATCAGGGGCTTGAGGACTGGTGGCTCCACCAATGCCACCTAGCCACCTGCGAGAAGGGCTCATGAATAAGAGGTGCACCCCAGTCCTTACAGCCAACAGCATTAGGTGCTCATAGTCCAGCTGCAAAACCCACCCACCTACGCGCTCTAGGGAACAGGGACATGCCTTCCTCTTGGACACTCAGGGGCGGCCATCAGTCTCCTGCCTTGCTCAGAGGGTGTCCCCTGCTGCAGCCAGATGCCTGTGCCTACACCAATCACCCATGCCTGTCTAGGACTGTAAGTGAGAGCCTACACCACACACTTGGTGGCTATTTACCTGGGCACCTGAGCTGAATCCATACAGGAGGAGTGGGAGGACTCCTGAGCTCCCATACCTAGTAACAGATCTAACCACCTGCTGACAGGACATTAGAGCTTCAAAGGTGCAAATAATCAAACTAGCTTATACGAGCAGCCTATTTGGGTATATCAGAACAAAACAAGAAGCTAGGACACAGTAAGCAAACATAAAATAAACAAATATAATAACTTATTGATGGCTCGGAGACAACAGTCAATATCAAATCACATACAGAGGCAATCCATGATGGCTTCAGTAAGCTCCCAAAATAAAGAATCTAGAAATTTTCCAGAGGAGGAAGATTTCTTGGAATTACCAGAGGCAGATTACAAAAGATTAATATACAGAACTCTTCAAGAAATTAGTAAGGAAATTAAGCAAAACACAGAACACACAATAGAGGAAATTAAAAAGATTAGAGAAGAGCATAATGACAAATTTAACAGGCTGAAAGAATCCATAGAGAGACAGCAATCAGAAATCCAGAAGATTAACAATAAAATGTCAGAATTAGACAACTCAATAGAAAGTAACAGGAGCAGAACTGAGGCAATGGAAGTCAGAATTAGTGAGAATGAAGGCAAAGCACTTGACACCAACTTATTTGAGGAAAAATCAGATAAAAGGATCTAAAAAAATGAAGAAACCCTAAGAATTATGTGGGACTCTATCAAAAGGAATAACCTATGAGTGACTGGAGTATCAGAACAGTGGGGATAACAGAAAAAACAGAGAGGATCATTGAAGATTTGTTAGCAGAAAACTTCCCCGATATCGTGAAAGATTACAAAATATCTATCCAAGATGCTCATCGAACTCCACGTAAGGTAGATCACAAAAGAAAGTCACCAAGATTTGCGAAAACCAAAGATAAAGAGAGAATTTTAAGAGCAGCTAGGGATAAATGAGAAATCATCTACAAAGGAGAGTCAATAAGAATAAGCTCAGACTACTCAGCAGAAACCATGCAGGCAAGGAGGCAATGGGATGGCATATATAAAGCCTTGAAGGAAAAAATTGCCAGCCAAGAATTATATATCCAGCAAAACTGTCTCACAAATATGATGGTGAAATTAGGACATTTCCAGATAAATAGAAGATAAGGGAATTTGCAAAAACCAAACCAAAATTACAAGAAATACTAAAGAGAGTCCTCCAGTTAGAAAACCAGTAACATCAGATAACAATGCAAGACTAGAACACAGGACAGAGCAACCAGATATCAACCCAGATAGGGAAGTCACAAAAGTAAATCAAAGCTAAAACACTGAAAATAGG